TCACAGCTGTGGGGTGAGACGTACTAAAACTGACAGAAGCTCAGGAGATTTTCTCACCTGGGCCTAGGAGAAAGAGCATCCCCATTGGAGGAAGGTGTCCTTGGCATCAGAGTTAATGGGCTCCTGTTCTGGTGCTTGAGGTGGCACGAAACCAAGGAACTGTCATGAGTGATGCCAGGAAAGCAGAACAAGAAAGGTCAGTGCTCTGTGTTGAATTGAGGTTGACTGGAAGTAACAGCACAGCTGGATCAGTGGCATTTGAGAGGCAGGATTGGTCGGGGATATATCTTCTACCTCCTGTTCAATGTCATTCAGCAAGATGTACGTAGCAGCCAGTGGCTGACTTTGAAGAAGTACTGCTTTGAATCCCTCACACCTTGAATGGCCTGCAGCCTTGTGATCCTTCCTTTGCTCCTGAAGCAGCAGGTCAGGTGGTAAGATACCACCAAGAGATGACAATTATGTTAGTTCATTATTACAACTAGATAAGTTCACTTCAATGTCTCACTCAAAGGCTAGTTCAGATTTAGGATGCTTGCGCTTGTCTAAGAAAGAACTGATGTGTCCATTCTCTTTGGGAGATGAGGCTCCTCACAGCCAGGAGTGTTTTCAGGCTGAAGGCTGCCAGAGCCTGTAATTTTGGGAACAAATCAACACAGACTTGGGTGAAATTAATCAGATTGGTACCAGCATCCTCCAGATGCCTGCAGTTCCTATTAGTATGTTTCTGAGCACCATCACAATCAGCAGCCTGCAGCCTGTTGATCCTTCCTCAAAATGCTGGCATTGATCATATATCTTCAAATGTGGTCACATCAGTAACAGTGACTGAGATGGGGCTTTGCTTTGCAAATGAGCTTAAACCAAGCTCTGTCTTGCACAAAGTTGCCCCTTGCAGAGGAGCTGCTATCCTGAGGAGGTTGTGCCGAGACCAGCTGGGGCAAGCAGGTCCCCACGTCACTCTGATCCCTCTCAGAGAAGCTATAACACAGCAGACTCTATGTGTGCTATGCTACTCATGCTAAGCCCCACAGTGGGGTCCTCCAGCTGAGCTCAGCTGAGTAGCTGGCATGTCCATCCCCTAAGGAGTCTATGGAGGATTAGCTGGAGACATAAGATTTTCTGCAAAACTTTGCTTTGTCCCTTTTGTAGTCTGGCAAAAGTGGTTTGTAACGTGTGGCCGCAGCTGGGATTGTTAATGCATGTCCTACAGCTGCTGCAAGGTGTGCTGGAGCGTGTTAGCTGAGCACTATCACCTACAGAGCATCAGGGCCACGCCAGCAGGTGAAATCTGCCTCCTCAATCATTCTCTTGCCTTCCCAGCAGGCAGCTTTCCCTCAGAGAAGATAGTTTTATCTTCTGACCCATGCGCCTTTGTGTTCTCCTGTATAATGTTTTGTACGTGACCTGGTTCCTGCTGATGTCTCCAAGAGGGGTGGGTGGTTTATGGTTTCCCCTCTGTTTACCTTTTGCAATGTAAAGCTTGATGTAAGGAATGCTGATTTTAGGTCTGAATGGCTTCAACTGGGTGCCTGGTACCACTGAAAGTAATTGGTAACCTGTGCTTTTGCTGATAGACCTGAAGTGTAAATTGTGGCCCTTGAGAACACAGCTGAGAACCGTGGCACACATGTGGGGCTCTGATCCTTGAACATCTCTTGTTGCACCTGTATCCAAACAAGCCACAGAAAGCCAAAGACACCATATAGCAGCCTAAATAGAAAGTTTTGGTGGTCTGTGAAGGGGTGGTGGTGAGCTATGGAGATGCTCTCTGCTCATTTCTGCCTGCCATGCTTGTAGGAGTGAGTGACTGAAAGCTGCTTGGGGTGGGTTGCCTTGCCTTGCCTTGCCTTGTTTTCAGGCAATCAGTACCCATCTTAAAACACCCTCTAGCATCATAGCTATCACACAGAGAGGCTGTGGATTGAGACACCATGGAGAGCAGGTTGCTGCCTGGATGGCTGTCCTTCCTAGCCCAGAGCCAGGCTCCTGTCACTTATCAAAAACTCCTATTCTGAGCTATGGATTCATAAGCCATTTTGTTTACATGTTTTATGCACTGAAATGAAAGCACCTCAAGCTGCAGCCATCATCAGGATCCCGTGTCCCTTTAAGGGAGGGCACTGGAAGGTGCACACATATGCTCGGGTGGGTTGTGCTGCTCAGGAGCCCCCAGATCGCAGCATCACAGATGGAAGCAGTAAACTTGATGCATACATGTCACACCTACCACTGATGTGGCTTTGTCCATGTCGCTGTGTGGTGCTGTATGTGCCTGCTAACCTGAGCGAGCATAACTCATTGTGAGCCTCATTTGCCTGGGCTCCTGCAGCCTAAACAGAGCCCATGGCTCCGTGAGCTGGCACACAGGAGCTCAGTCAGAGCCTGTGGCTCTGTGAGCTGGGGCACACGTCTGCCTGGAGAAATGGTGAAGGCAGGGGATAAATGGCATTTTTCAGCCCATTTCTCAGGCGTGCTGTAATTATGTCTAGACAGGCAGCCTTGGATGGCTGCCTTGTACCTTTGTAGGGGTGGCTGCTGTTCCCAATAGGTTTTGCCAGCTCTCCTTCAGCTCTGAAGGGGCTTAACTCTCCTCAGCCACAGTAGAGATGCTTCCTGGCTCTTCTGTCTGCTGGCTGGTTTACAAACGGCATCCAGCATAGGGGACGTTAGGTAGCCCATTCCTGCTGCCTGCTGGAGCAGAGTGAAGGTGAGCACAGGCTTCAGGACCCTTTGCTGTGCCTGCACGTCTGCCCAGCCGTGCTGTCAGAGCAGGTTTCCTGACACTGGGAAATATCTAGAGCCTGCGGCGGTCTCTCAGCTCCTTCTTTCTCTCTGCCGTAGAGGAGCTTTCTGCATTCTCCAAAGGCTCTTCTAAAGCGAATGCCAGCATCTAAACAGCCTGTGGTTCTTCAGCAGAGCACAGTCGGGGCTCACCTCTCCTCTTCCAGTCAGTCACAGAGCCAGGCAGGGAGGGAACCCAAACAGCAAAGATGAAAATGTTGTTGAAAATGAAGGTCAGGAGGAGGCATTTCAGTTAACAAATGGGGAGTACAGATTATTCTATTGCCAGGAATGAGTGTGTGTGTGTGTGTGGGGGGGGGGGGGGTGTGAAGCAGCAGAGGTCCTGGGGGGCTCCTCAGGTGTCCCTCTGGCTTCCTGGGGATGGATGAAGGGTATTAACTGGTTGCACCTTTGATTGCTTCTGTTCCTTGGCCTCTCCTGTGTGTTCTTATTGCCATAGTAAAATGTGGCATGGAGCTCAAGCAGTACTTGAGAGAGGGGGGGAGAGATGCTGTTTTTTTTTGGAGTTAAGTTATTGTAATTATGGGTGGGATTTGTGATGCCTTTTTTCTTTTCTTCCCTAGTTATAGATCAAGCGATTGCTATCAGTTCTGTGACTCACAGTTCAAATCTTAACTATTAAATAAAGAACTGTATATTTAGATACAGAACCTTCCCCATCCCTCAGAGGTGTGTGGGTACCAAAATACTGCTTGGTCTTCTACCACATCTCTTTTTCCTTACCTCTATCCTGAATCACCTTGGGATTCACTGCTTGAAGTACAGGTTCAAATTCAAGTAAGATCAGAGTGAATGTGACACCTAAGAGATGCCAGGGCAGGGCTTGAAACGGACCTAGCCGTGCTCTAAAAGGTCTTTTTCCTTATTTCCACCTTTCCGGTAAGTGTGTATATAAAGCAACTGAAACTGGTCTCTGGTGATCTGTGTTGTGAAGCATTTGAATAAGAATTACTTGAGCAGCAATCTGTCCACAGGCTGATTCACACAATTGATATCCCCAATACCCTGTGTGCTGAGTAGCTCCCATGTTAGCCACCACCTATGAGCAGATGGAGTAAACAGTACCACACGCCTGCCTGGCATAGCTGGGAAACTGATAGACCATATTTTCAGCTGGAAGTGCTTAAAACAGCCATTGATTTCTTTTCCAGGTACAAGTAAAATGCAAGTAATAATGAAGGCCTCTTACAGGTCTCCAGGCAGATGATTACTTTGTACAGGGAAGTGCTAAGAGGGCTGTCACTGAGAAAAGGCTTAAGGAAGGGCTATGTTCACCACAAAGGTACCAAACCTTCCAGTTACATCTGTGTTTTATTAGATTGACAATTACAGTGCAGTATGGAGGGCACTCCCCAGGCAAACAACACATGCTGTCCACGAGCATCTTCTCCCAAAGCCCAGACAAACAAGAGAAGAAGCTAGATCTCTGCTATGTGCTCCAGAGGCAGAGAATGGATTTGGCTTTATACTAGGAAAGGGAGGAAGCCCTTCCCAGATGAGGAGCTGTGGCATGGACACAGGCAGCAACAACGCACACAGGTACATCCAAAGCTGTCAAACAAGTGTGGCTAACAGCACAGCTAAGCCTGGTCTTGGAAGTGAGAGCTGGAGCCTCTGATCCAGTACAGTGAGGAGGGTGGAAACGAGAGAAATGTGTAGAGGCTGTCCCAGGTCAAGTTTGTCTATACAAGAAGAACATTAGAGTGCCAGCTTAAATGGTACAGCAGGGCTTGTCTGGTGTTTTTATCCAGGAGCTACTGGAGATGGCTTTGTAAAATATTGCTGGGAAAGGAGACCATGGCATGATTGTGTTTGGCCAGCTCCTGGAAGCTGGGATGTATGGATGCCCTGTGTGCTGACAGGTATATCGGTGAAGGGAGCCAGAGAGTCCTGGGTCTGATCCTGTGGCACACATCCTTTCTTACAGGGAGGGATGCTACTGAAACAGCTGCTCCCCAGGTGTGGGCTGTAACAGGAGTTATCAGAAGAGGACAAACACATAATCCAGCAGTGCTCCTAACGAGGACAGGAGTGCAGAGATTGGTTCCAAAGAGACCACAAACAAATTTCAAGGCAAGGTGCATGCAACCTGCCCCAGGTGGAAAAAACAGGTTTGAATCTATTGCAGGCATGACTGGAGCTATCCTAGGCCTTGTTCATTAGTGTGTGGTGTGTGGTAGTTAAGTAGTGATGAGTGGGTGTGTGGTAGTTAAGTAGTGGCCAATCTAGCACTGGCCTTTGGGTTAGGAAGAGCGGGAACACTTGTGATAGTGCTGTGCTTCTCATGAGACCTGACCTACCAGAGGGATGGTAGCCACCTCTCTGTCTTGCAAGGAGCAATAAAATACAACCTGGCAGCACAAGGGAAGGTTTCACTTGCAACTGGGGCAATTTACTCAAGCACTGAGAGTGACCCAGTTTTATCGGTAAGCCTTTTGACAGAGACAAGGATGTTGTCATTTCTCTGTCAGTGTTCTCTTTCTGAGTTGGCTCATTATTAAAGGGATAGGATCCTTAAGGAACAGGTCATGTTCTGCCCTCTATTAGGACTGCTGTGCATGAGCTGGGTGCCTTCTGCAGTCTGAGGTTCCAGCACTGGGAAGCCAAATGCATTCCCAGCCCACAGGCAGGGAGATGAGATGCTGTCTGCTTTGGTCCCACGTGCACTATGGTGGCTGATCTTGCACTGCACGCCTGGGTCTGCCTCTCAGTGCCCAGTGCTGAGGGACTCACTGGTTTGCCTCTGTGTCTTCTCCTCCTTCCCCAGAAGTGGGGAGCACTTGTACCACAGAGCGCAGCCCGTGCAGCCCGGTGCCAGCCCCGCGGTCAGCAGCAGAGGATCTTGAGGAAGGCTTTGCGGAAGTCGGTGTTGAAGGTTGTGTAGATGATGGGGTTGAGGGCGCTGTTCACGTAGCCAAGCCAGGTGCTGGCACTGTAAAGCCCTGGGGGCACGTGGCAGGACGGGCAGTGGGTGTTGAGGATGTGAATCAAGAAGAAGGGCAGCCAGCAGACTATGAATGCTCCTGGGTTTAGAGAGAGGGAGAAAACAATTCAGGACTTTAGGGAAACAACTACTCAGAAAGATAGAGGGCACTGACCCGTGTCCTCCCTCCATCCTCTCACTGCTTCCATGCGTGTGTCTGCACTTGGGAGGTGCTGAAAGTGATGTTGCTGAGACAGAGGGACTTAGCAAGAGCTTCAGCTCCTTGGGGTCAGGTATGTGAATGGATGGATGCAGCTTCAGAAGTGGCCTCAACTGACAAAAAGACAGTGGCCACAACTTAGAGGGAAAGACTGCTGCTTTAGCTGCTTTTATCAGTTACAATGAGGCTGCTTCCCTGCTACTACCAAGTTAATGAGGGGCAGCGGTGTGTCTGGTGACCCTCGCAGGTGACTGAGGCACCATTCTCCTGGTTTCTCTATCCAGCTCTATGAGCTGGTTCCAATGATGCTCCTTGCCTCAGTTTCCCCTTCTGTAATTGGACCTGAGAGCTGCTGCATGTGCAGAAACTTAGGACTGTTTCAACTTTATAACAAAGGAAAAGGGAAAGCAAAGATGTTGGCTGTTGCTGCCTGTAGCAGGGATCTTTGGCCACTGGTTTAAAACAAAAGGGTAACATAACGTAGCAAATACAATACTAACATACTTGTCTCTCAACATCTGAGAGCATTTCCCTAGATCCCTAAATGCCCCATCTCTGTCTCTCCTGAGTTTGTGGAGCAGTCAAACTGAAGTCTGGGCTTGGCTTCCATTTTTTTAAGCTCAATACTGTATTAGGAGATTCCTTGCTCTTGCAAGTCCCAAACCATCACCCCTTGCCCCCCACTAGATAGAGTGGCTCTCACTCACCCAGGACGATAGCTAGCATCTGTGTAGCCTTCCTCTCCCGAAGCTGGATCAGCCGGGGCTGCTGATGCACTAGCTTCAAAGAGCTGATGGTCTTGCCATTGCTGAGCCTCCGTACCTCCAGTCCTGGCTTGGTACTCCTCATCTCTTCCAGCCTGCTGTGCTGTGTGCTCCTGGGTGTCTTGGTGAGGGATGCCTCATGGCAGAAGCTGCGGTACCGCTGCAGGCTGAGGATAGTCAGCAACTTCCTTTTGGTAGACATCCCCTGGCCTGAGCACTTGAGCGGGAGACAGGGGGAAAAGGTGCCTTGGCATCTGCTTGGCAAAGCTTTTCTCTCCAAGTGTTCCTGCAAAAAGAGGATTCCACACAGGGGCTGGGAGCCTTCCAAACCATTCACTGGGTTAAAGGATGACAAGGAAAGCTGTAGGAGCCCCACTTGCACCTTACCCTCTAGACTGATCTGGCTTATCAGAGGGGTGAACCAGCACTGGACAACTCTCTGCTTCCATCACACTGAGGAGAAGCATGAGAACAAGTAGAGCTGAAACACCTGCTCTGCTAACCTTACCCTTGTATTTTTGTGTTGGCCCTACTCCCCTCAACACCCCCCCCCTCCACACTTTTATTAATGCAGCTTCACTGTGAGAAATGGGTAAAACAAGTGGATATGCGTGACCAGGCAATCCCTTTCAAACCACTGTGCTGGTTCCCATGGTTGCAGATATTTCATCTAGAAAGGTCAGTGGAACAAATGCTCCATGCACCATAAGCATTTTGACCTCTTAAGTCTGTCAGATGAAGAGTTGTTTTGTTTTGGTTCTTCTTTTTCAATAATCTAGGTTAAAGCCTGTGAAGCCCTGAGAACAAAGCTTCACACAACAAAAACCAATAAAGAAAGACATTAAAAATCGATGTGAAGAAATTAGCCAGACTTCTGCATGGCTGAAAAAGCCCTGCTCTGAAGAAATACTGAAGTAGCCTGTGCCCTGTTTCTAGAGAGCAGAGATAGACGGGGAATATCCTCTTTCTAGAGGGCTGAAAAGGATTTAACTGGAGCTTCCACATCTCAGATATCATGGTGTATGGGTGAGGGATGGAATGAAAACATGCCATGTCTCTTCTTTATGCTTTCTGTTTTGTGCTTTGACCCTTTAAGCAGAAGAGATCATGCATGCCCTGCCCTGTTCGACAGCTCCTTCTGTATTCATATGAACCTTACTTTGTGTGCATAACACGGTTTGGTGCTGGCGCTGTGGCTGCCCTGCCGGGTGAGGGTTCGCTTCTTTTGTCTCTGTCTTAGCACGAGGTAAATCCGGACATAGAGCAGCAGGGTCACCAGGAAGGGGAGGTAGAAGGACACCAAAGAGGAGTAGATGATGAAACTAGGGTTGGATATGGAACAGACAGTGGGATCCCCTGGGGAGGAGAAGAGAGAGAAAAAGAGAGGAGAGAGCTGCTTTGGTTTAGTACAAGGGGTCTTTGGTGGACAAAGACAGTCTAAGGAGTGCAAGTATCTCCTATCTCTGTTGTTGCAAATTAGTTGTGTCCTACATACTCACCTAACTGATGCTTAAAAGGGACTACCTAGGGCCATTTAGCATGACCCAGCATGGATCTGCCTGCTTTTCTTCTCTCATGTCTATTCCCATCCTTTCTCCTATTCTTCTGACAGCCTCTGAGCTGCCTGGTTGCAGAGGGGTGCCTTCACCCTCATCTGTCTGGACCAGGAAGGAGGGCGACAGCAGTACTTCCCACTCCCTGCTCTCTTCTCACCTCAAGCATTGTATATAGGATGGATGGGGAGCAGCGGACCTCTGCCTGTGACTCAGAGGGGAGGAAGGCTCTTGTACCCCTCTACCTCCAGGGAGAATGGGCTGCCCTAGGTGAGGGGAAAGAGACCAACCTGATTCCAAGGAGGAGACTAAATTGTTTCCCTTCCTCAAGGGGTTAGGTGAGGAAGCAGCCCTCTGCATGGGAAAGAGATTTCTCACAAGCAGTGCCAGTGTGCAGTCCTTGCTGGGTAGGAATCTGTCCTGTACCACATTGAAAACTGTGCCTGGAGCTGTTGATATCGGCAAGATGCCGTAAGTCTGATGTGTACTGGATGTGCTGCGTATCTGGAGATTCGCTCTGTATGCACTGAGTGACTGGAGGAATCTGTAGACCCAGATGCTTTGACAGACATTGATCTGTCAATAAAGCAGGCAGGTCTGTTGTCAGAGCAATAGTCAGTGTCTGCCGGAGTAAATGGCAAGCTCATAAGACAAGAGCATGTGTGCTCAGCACCAGAGATTTTTCTCACCATAGTGTGCTTTCCAGTTTCCCAAAATTTCCTGTAACTTGGAAAGTGTGCAGGACCCATGTTAAATGACCTGCCTGTACACAGGGCAGCTCCATTTTCAACCCCTCACCAGTTGGTGCTGTTCAAGGACGTCACCTACCTGTAGTATTGAAGCCAAAGAGGAGAGGGCATGACACTGCGAATGCCAGCATCCAGACTATCACGATCATGAGAGACACCCTCCTGCAGGAGCTCTGCCCAGTGTTGTTCTGGTACTGAACTGGTTTCACCACTGCGGTGTATCTGTGGGCCAAACCAGCTCCAGAAAGAGGGAGGGAGGAAAAGGACCAGGTTTTAAAAGGAGAAAGGAAAGCCATGTAGGGAACATGATGGTGAACGTGGTAAAGAAATAAATGGAAGAGGAAAGGAGACCAGATGATGGGACCAGCAATTTGTAGAAATGATAAGTGGGGCATTGGGAGGAGGAACAGAGGAAATCAGAGTTAGTTGTCAGCACTGCAGAGAAACACTCTGCAGATCTGCTGGCATTGTGAAGCTGCAAGGTTTGGGATACCAGATGGATCTAGAAACCCCGGGAAGCCCCTAAGGTTATATGTGCACACTGCTGGGAAAGAGCAGTCTTGGAGCAACCACAGCCTGCTGCACTCTGTGCCTCAGCTGCCCGCTCTGGTGTTGGCCTTACTGACAGAGCCTATGGGTAGGTGTCCAGGGCGTTCAGCTGCCAGGGTGCCTCAGGGGATGCAGCTCAGCAAGGCTAGGATGAAGGCACAGAAGTCTTGTCTTTAGGATAGCCCAGGGGCTGGTACTCCAGACCAACCCAGCATTGGGAGCTGCCTCATACAGTTACCCTTTAGCCACATATTACAAAGGTACAGCATGCAGGTCTTTTTCCTTCCCCCACTTCTCGGTCCTAACAGTACCATGTGCAGCAAGGTCTTGGCTCCCCGCCCTCAGCATGGCTTTAAATAGGCTAAGTTTTAAGATGCAGAAAAGCAGGGCAAGGCTGAAGATTATACAGCAATAATCACCACCCCCTCTCTATGTGTATGGCAGGATTTTGTTCATTAAAACTTCATGAGTGAGGTCTTCAGGAGGAGATACCCTCTTTAAGACTCAGTAGGAATTAGATAACCCATTCTGGTTCCTGCTTTCAAGAAGCATGAGGATGAGGTTGATTGCCTACTGGTGATGTTTTATTGCTTGTGCCTGTCTGCCCTTAATTGCAGACATCTTCAAGCACATCGTGGGCCAAGCCATATTAATAGCAGTAGCAGCAGTAATAGACTTGCCGGGAGGTTTGTGCTCCTGAGCACCCCAATGCCCAAATCCTACTTCCTTGTCCCTGCCATGCTATGGTACAGGGTTGTCCCACACCTCCAGAGTATCCCCCAGATGCTGTTGGCTCTCACCTGTCAATGCTGATAGCACAGAGGTTTAAAATGCTGGCTGTGCACATCATTACATCCATGGTGACGAAGATATCGCAGCAGATGCGGCTGAAGGTCCAGACTCCTCCAGTCACCTGCACCAGCAACCACAAAAGTGTCAGCCTTGTTCTGCACCAAGTCCTGATAAGTTATGTATAAGGAGGTGGTCTCCTCCAAGTATCTCAACAGCTACATGAGTTTATGTCCATTGTGATGTGCAGAGGGAAACTGAGGTACCTGTGTTGTGCGCAAGATAACGCAGCGGTAGGTTGCAAAGAAGGAGCCGCACCTCAGTTTCAGTCCTTTAGTTACTCTTATAGAGAGAGAAGAAATAGATCTCAGCTATCCCTTCCCTTAAGGCCCAGCATGACAAATTGATTTAAATTTGGTATCACTGTGTATATCCTTTGATTAAGGATTATCTGAGAAAAAATAAGGGCTGAAAGAGTTTCTCAGCTTAGCTGCTGGAGTTCTCTTACAGGCAGTGAGCTGGAAAAGTGCTGCAAATTTTATGCATTTATGTATGAAAGAGAGTCCTGAGACCCAAGGTTTCTCTAAAGCCTTATTTGGATTCTTATCTCAGTTATAGATTTTGATTATTAGATCTGAGTGGGAACTTGCAAGCTATTCAGATAAAGCGTTCTGGTTTGCCACCGTGTCAAGCTTTTGTTCTGGTGGTTTTGAATGTTTAATCTGAAGTGTGCAATCATGAAAGCTTAGCTGTGACCAATCCTTGCGATGGAGAAATGCTCCTTTTTTTTTGGCCTAGGCACCAAGTTCTTGATAATACCATTTTCAGTTGACAACAATATGTTCCAAGCACGATGTGGTACTGCTCTCCTGGGGGGATGATAACGTCAAGAGAGGTGGTCTGCCTCAGTACTCCCTCCTTGTAGGAGATGAACAAGGAGGCAGCCTGCTTTCCACAGATAAGCTTGTTAGATGAGTACAGCAAACAAATCTAATGCTGTGCTGGTAGGAGGGAAAGAGGGAGGGAAGTCCTCGCTTGGAGAAAGCCTTCAATGTTCAATCCCATAGGTCCTGCTGGTTCAGCTGGATCCTGGGAAGCTATTAGGACCTGGCACTGATTCCTAGCATTTCTGCTTACATTTAGGCCACTGGAGTCTTGTGGTCTAAACAAGTGAAACCCACTTGTTTTGTGGCCCAAGTACAGCAAAAACACTGATAAACAGGAGTGAGTCCAGTGGAGGGCCACCAATACAGTCCATGGGGCTGGAGCACTTGTCCTGTGAGGAGCTGCTAAGGAAACAGGGCTTGTTCAGCTTGGAGAAAAGGTGGCTTTGTGGAGGACTAACAGCAGTCCCCTAGTGGGAGATTATTAAGAAAGTCAGGGAAGGGTATCTATGAAGCTGGGGCCAGGTTTTCCACAGCAAGAGACAATAGACATAAGTTGAAAGAAAGGTGCACACTGGTGATGAAGATGAGGTTTCTGACCATGAGGACAGTGAGGTAGTGAAGCCAGTTGCTCAGTGAGATGGTGCAGGCTCCATCCTTGGAGGCTTTCAAGACCCACTCAAAAATACCTATCCCAGCTCAGGCAGGAGAGGGTGCCACAAGTAAGCTTGGCTTCTAAGGCAGTGGGTCAACCCTGCAACAAGTGTTGATGCCTAGGAAGGACGTGGCTCTGCAGAGAGATGCACTTGTATAAATACAGAATTCACTCTGTGGGAGTTGTTTTCAGAGCTGTTCAAGAAACAATAATGGAAAATATAAATGGTTTTAAGTGTGCCAGCACTTGGGCACAGAAACTTGCTGAGGTGTGCTATGTCTTTAGGCTGTTGCCTGCTGTACCCAGGTATGTGTCACAATTCAGGTACTGACAAGACAGTCTTCCATTAGGACCCCTGACATGAAGGGGAGAGAAATAGGAATTGGCTTACAAAAGGCAATAGGGAACTATGCTTTCATCTTTGGTTCTCTGATGCTTATGGGGCTTCTTTGTTTTCTCTTTAAAAAAGCAGGGAAAGAAAAAAAGCCCCAAACTCTTAAAGCTTTTCTTTTCAGTTTTCAAAGAAAACCCACACCATTTTTGCTTTAGGTGCAGATTTTTGAGATCTGCTTGACCACCTGAAAATACATATATGTATGTGTGTATATATATATATGTATATGTGTGTGTATATATATATGTATATGACTGTAACTGCTGGAAGCCTTTGCAGTGGTTTGCAGTGAGAGGTGTTTCTGGTAGCGTGAGACAAAATGCAACGCAGTGTTTGTGTGATTTGTGGAGTTTGAAGAGTATTTCACCAGGAGCTGGTGCCAGCTGTTTGCATGAAAGCCACCTGCTGCTCGCCCAGCAGATGTGCAAGCACTTAACTGAGGGAGCTTCCAAGGTCCTGAGCACATTCAGGTTTTAAGCCCAAGAATGTGAACCATTAAAACTTGAGAAGGTGGTGGTGGGAATGGCTTTGAAGTGAACCCTCTAGGGATGATGCATTCAGACCATGCCACCTGCATACTAAGCTGTGGATTGTATTAAGAGGATGCTTGACAGATCAAAATGTTTGGGCTTAAAACCCACCCACTTCCACCAGCCTCAACCTCTAAAATGGGCATTAGCTCTGCTGAAGTCAGTGAAGTAGTTAATATTTACCTGCTTGGTATGCAAACCCAGAATTTGTTCTGGAATTTAATAGTGAAGAAGAACCTTTTTATTACAGGCCTTGTTAATAATCTTTAAAATTCTATTTCTGCTATTCCTTTTATTGCTCTGCTCATCTTTGCTACAGCAGCTAGAACTTGCTAGTGTGCATTTCTGGTTTTCATGTGCTGGCAGGGTACCTGTTCTTTACCCCTCTGATGCCTTTTGTCCAGGAATCTCAAAGCACATCACAGGTATTAATTGAATGAATCCTCACAACTGCCTGGGTGAGGTGGATGGTCAAATGTTCTTCTTTGACAACTGATAAGAGCAAACCACAGAGAGATGAGCTGATGAGGTCTCTCATTACCCCTCTGTGCATATGCAACAGAAGTGGGAATAGAGTGCAGGTTGAAATCCTGGCTCTGATAAAGACAATGCTAAAGCTCCCTAAAGACTATTCAGGTCAGGTTCTCACCACATCTGCTTTATCCATAAAACTGCAGTATTATTATTTTAAACTTTCCAACCATAAAGTAGTCTTCCAGTTTATGTGCATTCATAAGCTTATGCAAATCCATCACTCTCCTGAATCCTTGCAAATAAACAAAGGAATGTGTGTAAATCAGATGATGCTGTATTGAGGAACACATAGGGGGGAAGGTAGGAACATGAAGTTACATCAGGTGATGACAGACATCTGAATAGTGGTGCATTTAAGCATGCTCACTTAAGTGTTTTGTGCTTAAGAGTGTTCTTCTTGGGGGTGCTGTTAGCTCCCTGCAGCTGTGAAATGGCTGCTTATGGTTTTGTATGGTGGGAGTAACTAAGAGCACACACACAGTCAGGCCTGCTGAGGAGTGGTAAACTGCTGAGCTGCACTAACTCAGGCGTCTGTCCTCCCTTTGGCAACCACCTTCAGAAACTTCTGGTCCTCTGAAGGTAGAGCTAGATGTCGTGAAAAGATGGAGAAGGATGCTCCAGGCCATGCTGCTACATGTCCTCCTCCGTTTATACAATGATTATAAGGTATGATGGTGTTTAATGCCAAACAAACTCCAGTGGGCAGGGTACCCTAAAGCCACTGTCTTAGACATCTTGGTGAGCCAAGTAGATGCATCGGCCACAGCATCAGAGGTCAGTAAAGAAATAGGGTAACAGAACTGGCATATTAGACCAGGTATGGTCAGCATATTAGACCAGGTAGGTCAACAACAGGTATGTTGACCCCAGGAGATTGCTAGACACAGTGTTGAACACATTTTTGTGCCAGAAACTTCACTAGGTGGAGATGAGGATTTTGAGACTATAAAACGTTCCTCTGGTTGATCTATCACAGCCTTCCCAAGAGGCCTTTCGGAAAGACACAGTTCTTTACATGATTGATAAAATGACAAATTATATGGAGAAGGTCCAGGCCACAGATGGCTCTAAAAAATGAGTGTAAAGCAACAAAGTTCACAAGCAACATTTAAATCTGAGGTATTCATCCACCTTTAGCTTCTCCATAAATAATGGCCAGGTCTCGGATGCCTGGTTTGGCAAACGACCAGTAGAGGAATAGGTATTGTACATGGTTTTGGAAACAATTATTTCTTGGCAATTTCTAGGCCCATAGTGTACTGAAGCATGATGCCATTTCTGCTTCACCGGTGGCATCGCTCATCCATAAACAGCAGCAAGAATCTAAATGACTTTGGACTGGTTTTATAATCTTAGTCTTGCTGAAGTCCTACAGTCTGGCTCTCTAGGAGATACTGTGCAATGCTGGGAGTGGTAGCTTGGGATGTGTGTGGGGTCTTCTGCCTGTTGTTTGTGTGACTCTTGGATCAGCTACTTTGATTATCCAAGCTTCACAGATAGAAATGAATCTTGAATGGGTCTCAAACACAACTAGGGAATGGGCTACTTTTGTGCTCACAAATTGTGACCACAGTACTACATGGGGGCACAGGCTGCTCTACAGATGTGCCTCAATCTCACCCTGTCCACAGCGAGTGCTAAGTTTAATGCAAAAGTATATTGTGATTTCATTAAAGACTGGAATATGCTTGAAATGGTGGATTATTCTAGTCCAATGAAATTTGACTTTTAAGAACATATTTTTAATTCCTATCCAATTGCAAAGGCTAATCTGTCTTGTTGGAATGGCTTCCCTCCTCTGCTCACCCATTATCCCCTTTTTAATCATTTGTTGTAATACAACCTGACTGTACACATCCTGCAGGCCAGCTCCAGTACTGCTCCACACAGATCAGCCTAAACATTACTACTGACTTGATTGGGAACATGATCACACATGCAGTATCATGGTAAACTCCTACTGTGGTGAAGTTCTGTTAATCATAGAATGGTTTGGGTTGGAAAGGACCTTGGGATCACCTACTTCCAACCCCTGTGCCATGGGCAGGGATTCCTCACCCTAGACCATGTCACCCAGGACTCTGTCCAACTCACCTCCAGGTACACCACCCATGGCATCACCAAAATAGCCACCAGCAGGTCCGCCACCGCCAGGCTCACCACCAGGTAGTTTGTTGTGGTTTGCAGGGCACGTTCCCTCAGCACAGCTAAGCAGACCAGGACGTTCCCAAAGATGATGGCCAAAATCAAGATGCAGTAGCAGAGGGCGTAGTAGGCATGTGAGTGTGGCAGGTAAGGCTCCGTAGTGTTTTCTGCTCCACAGGGAATGGGGTTGGTGTTATTTGGATGACTGCTGGCTCTTGTGAAGAGGGCCATGGGGATGCCTCTGGGAAGATGAAGAAAGAGGCAAGGTTTTTTTCTGCTCGTATACAGACAGACTGTTTATGGTCTTGCTTCGCCTGTTTAGTTTTTTATTGAATTCAAGCCAAGAGAAGAATGCAATATTTCACCTCCTGTGTGTGAGAGAGATGCATCTTACCAACCAACGTAGATATATGGAAAGTGTCAGTAGTTTTAAGATGCACTGAAGTCACAGCACAGTACAAGTCAGCTGGGCAAGAGCTCAGTCTTAAAGGCAATTTGTAGTACTGAGAACAACACAACACAGTTACCCAAACCAGGTACCCAAACCAGGTAGCTTGGACCTACTATCTTTTCTTTGATGAGGGAAGTGGAAAGTACACTTTTCCTGCAACACGTTTCTGTCCCAGGCCTTCTGTTCAAATAATGCTCTGCTTGTACCCTGCCTACCTTGCCAAAGTTCAGCTACCGGTGCTGCCCTCATTTCATCCATAGTGTGCTCTGTCTTTTCCACGCCTGGCCAGAAAATGCACTTCCTGCTCTGAAGAGCAAACCAACTTGTCATTTGGGATGAAATAATGGACGGATGCTTACAGGGTACTTAGTATTTATTTTCCTTACAATGGATTCGTGGTTGTGCTCAGGAACCTATCCTTTGTTGATTTAGGGGAGGATAATTTTTTCCAGGGCTATGAAGGCTGCTGTCCAGGGTTGTTCTGTGACATTTAATTGCTTGTATATGATAGGGTTTTTTTCCCTTTGCTAGTGCTCCCATTGCTGAACTCCTCATCAGCGTGACAGGTATGAAACATAAGGACAAAACATTGCAATGCCAATGGTATAAATATTACTCCTTGTTCCATCTCGCCCCTTGAACAGTATCATCTGTGATGCATGCACTCCAGGAGGAGTAGCTGTACAGTAGGTATAAATGGGTATAAATTGCTCCAGCACCCTTAAAATGGGTGTCACTTACCCCTGCTGTTTGTAGCTGGGAGAGCACAAGGGCAGAATGAGATGGAGACTGAACTTTCCTTTGTCCCATGAACACAGATCCCTCAGGACTGGGGTGAAACAATCTCTTATGGCATGTTTTGTTTGCAAGTGCCCATGCCTGCCTCTCCTTCTCCTTCTGCCAGCCCCTGACCCAAGTTGAGCCCTCCACTGGACCTGAAGGATTTCCACAGCATGACTCCCAGGACTGTTTGTTCATAAAACAGCTCTGCTGCAGCCACCCAAAGACAGGGCTTCTTTTGCAGTGAGCGTCCCTTGCAGTGACACAGCTCCTGCTCCGGGAAATCTGTATTGTCTGGGGACATGAAAGGCCAGTTCTGTAGCTTTGGGAATAAACCCCACATTAAGCAGCTGCCTAGCTGATAAGCAAAGCCATGACAGGGAATGAACAAAACGGCACACAGAACTGAGAGGTTTAAGGCACTGTACTACACAGTTTGCCAACGGGTTTACTGCCCCATCTTTTATCCCTTACATCCTCAAGCACTATTTTCAGCTATCACCGGGAGGCCAGTGTTCCCTACCAGGTTTCCCCCTCAAGTTCCTCACTGCCAGGAGCCCCAGCCCTCGACTGCCCTACACTCCCGTGGCTCTGCTGGCTCTGCCCGCAGCCAGGATGCTGCCAAACCAGAGTACCGGGATACAGGGGTACAGGGACACCGGAGTGCCGGGATACCCCCTACCCGTAGGGACAAGGGTTGCTGCCGCGGGGACGAGCAGACGGCGGGGAGAGGGAGGGATGCTCCTCCCGTAGATCCCGGAGGGAGGGAAGTCCGGGTGCAGGTCCTGGTCCGGATGCCATGGTGCGGGCGTGGGGTGCAGAGGAAGGGTTCGGGGTCCAAGTGTGGCTGCGGCTTTGGGTCCCGCTCCTGCTGCCGCTCCCGCACCCGAGGGGCAGCCGTGCGCCCTGGGGGGGGCGAGGGAAGCTGGGAAAACTCGGAGCGGGGACACTGCGGAGATGGGGGCACCTCCGGTACCGGGCGGTAGAGGAGTGCGGGTGGGGGGGGTCAGCAATGAGGACTTACCCCGGCCCGCGGGGCCGCGCCACTGCCGCTGCCGCCCAGACGGTCTCGGTGCCGGTGCCGGTCCCGGTCCCGCTCCCTCCTGCCGCCCTCCCGGCGCGGAGCCGCGGGGCGGAGCCCGGCTGTCCCCCGCCTCCCCACCGCCACCCGCCGGCAGCAGCGGGCCGGGACCCCGCGGTGCCCGGGAGGGGGGAAGTCAGCGGGGCCGGGGTCTGCGCTCCCCAATCCCGTCCTCAAGTACCAAAGGGACCCGGCGGAGGGGTCTCGGCTAATTCCGGAGCCAGGGGTGAGGGACAGACCTGCTTCTGCCTCGGAGGCGAAGTAGAGAGGGGGAACCCCAAATCTGGACCCTGCCCTTGACCATGAAACGCCTCTGTTGTGGCGGAGCTGGAGGAGATGCCCCGGTCGAGCTGCCCGCGCTGCGGTGGAAGGCAAACAGGCAAAAGCCCTTCGGGGGATGCTGTGAGCGTACTGCTTGGGATAGGAATCTCGCGCTTAAAAATGGTTAGTTTAAAAATACGATCAGAGCGAGGATGGTTTTAAAATGGGAGAGAATTGGGGGAAAATAAATCTTTCATAAACTACCTTAAAACTGAGATGAAAGAGTGTTGGGTAAGCAGGGGGGAAGCCAGGAAGGACAGTGATGTGGGGGAAGCATCCTTCTGGGATCCCTGCCTGTGGGCACTGTATGCTGCATCTAACATGGCCACAGCATAGCTACAGCCCCTGCCTCTGTTATGTGGCTTCCCCTGAGGTCTGAGATTAGGTCTCCGAGGCCCAGTTCTCCTCAGACTGTGGTCACTGTGTGGGGTATGAATGATCCCAGTAGGCCTTCTGTCTCCTGGGGTTCAACTGTGCCCATCACTCACTCTGGCACCGCAAGTGGGGCTCACTGTGGGTTGTCATGAGGGTGTAGGAAGCTCAGCTGCAAGGGCTGAGGTTTCCCTTCCCATGCATGCAAGAGCTGCAGGAGTTGCTCTGCAGCCCCAGCAGGGAGGAGGGGAAGTTCTTCTCCCTTTAATGCACCCGCTGATCAGGGTGGCCATGGGCTAACTTGTAGGTGGGTGAGGAGATGAGGAGATACTGCAGACAGAAGTTTAAGAAATAAGTTACCTTAACAAGCATGCTTTGGGATTCTGGCTGCCTGAATCGTTTCTCCTGACTGCAGACACCCAGGTCAACAACCTCTTTGTGGGTAAGGGTGGTAGGTGGGAGAAGTGCGGTAGAGTACTCATACCCAATGAGGTGTGAAGGATGTGACAGTACAAGCTTCAGCCTGGCTGTGGGTGGTGGAAATGCCCATACAGCTAATCAGCACCAAGGCATTTAACCAAGGCAGTGAGTACCCCAAGGTGGATGGCACTGAATGGGTGTCATGATTCACTGCCACCTCCCTACAGGTAACACATTTGAACGTCAGGTGTTCTTGATGGAGGATATAGCTGCTAGGCTACAGAACGAATGACCAATGAAGGGTTTTACAGCCCCCTTGTCCCCTTGGGAGCTCCAAAGTGGTGTAACATAGGCTTAGTATATAGGCTTAACATATGCATAGTATTTACTGCGCTTATGTGTATGCAGCTGAACTGCTGTCACCTATTCCATACTGCTCTTCTTCAGCAAAATGCGTTTGCTATCTGCACTTGGAGCAGTTGAGGAAGGGGGGAAGCCCTCCCATCCATCCCCAGCACAGCCTTTTTGCTGTGAGCTTGGAAAGACTCCAGCACACCCACACTCATGTGCTTAAAACCGGAGGGAAAAGCACACATGGTGATGCTGTGGGAGTGAAGGGCTGGGTGGGAATGACTGGTGAGCATGACCCCTTGCTGTGGGGCTGGAGGCATTTTAGCTTCAGTTTTTAAATGCAGTTTGTTTGTAGGCGATCCCCAAAGGGTTGTGGCCAGCAAGGTGCTTACATGGTCTCTAGGACACTGGGACCACAAGGCGCTACTGCAATCTGCTGTACTGATGCTACCCGTTCGATGGAATGGCTAACCACGGATCAATCAAGAGGCATTACCTTGCAGCTGCTCCCCTCCTTTAAGATAGAGGGATTCAGCCCGGGGAGCCCACAAAAGCACTGTTGTTCTGATTCATGTCTTTTGTCTTCCAGCATTGAAACTCCCTCTGTTGCCTTTTCTTGTGGTCAATGGAGCCCCCAGTGCTGTCCCTCCAGGAGCCTCCTCACCCTGTAATCCATGTTACCTCCTGCCCCAGAGACCCCCACTGCAGATGCCCCAGCCTTTTATCCTTATCTGGTCCTGAAAGGTCTGTGACAACCTGTCCTCAACAGCCCACTCAGATTAATGAGACAGATGGGCAGTAGGAGCTTGTCAAACCTGTTTCTTGCTTTAATAATTTTTGTATCTTTCCTTAACATTGCTCTGACTTGAGAAGAAAAATCATCCAGTTGTAAATGTTGCTGCTCTATTTAAGCTCCTTCTCAGCAGTGCTCCTTCCCCACCTCCTTCCTGGGTGGCTCTTTTCATTCCCCCTTCTTTGGTTTTCCTGCGACTGGAAAAGTCCTACCTTTGGGGTAGGGACTTAATGACAGTGTTTGCCCTGCAGCAGAGGTCTTGTGGAGCAAGATAATAATCCATGCGATCCTTTAATTTAGATTAGATTGTACCACCCACAGAGACAGGCTGAACTAAAATTGCATAGGCAATCATAGCTGTGATATTTGCAGGAATTTGGAGGCTTTAAAACATTACATCTTCTTTAATAAAGTGCTCAGTGCAATGCCTCTCTCATAAATGCTTCCTTTTCCTACTCCAAAATCAAGTAGGTGGCTTGTATTTGCCTCAGTTAAACACTGGACAAGCCTTTGGCTGTGACAACACAGCATCACTGGAGCATGGCAGAGAAACAGGTCAGTAGTGAGTTGTAGGAAACTCAGGATGAGAGGATGTGCCAGCAGGTTTCACAGGTGTATCCTAACAGCAAAGCCTCCTCAAGCTCCCGTATCTCCAGCTCCATCAC